AAATATGGCCGCCTTGTGAAGTTATGAACAAATATGGCCGCCTTGTGGTTTGGGAGCCGTGCACGAGCCGTGTCCCTCCTCTGCTGCCGACACCATGAATAAACTCCGACCGTCACCTCCTCGTCCTCCGCTCCTGGTTTCATGTGCACGCGCTCCGGACGTCCCTCAGCGCGCGTGCAACAAAGAGTAAAGTGAAGCGAGAGCGACACCTGCTCCTCCTTCCTGTTTCGCGTTGACTAAATGTTTTAGTTTTATCGATGAGTTGGTCAAAGCACAGTTTATAGAAGTAATGTTTAATAAATGCTGGACTCGATTCTTTGCTAACAAAATGAATTCACCTCCTCAGTTGATGCTCTGGACGTTTGTCACCCACAGCAGGTGACAAAGAGTCACTCACAGCAAGATGTCCTGATGCTGCTCAATAATCCAGGTAGAAAAATCTAAAAAAGTTAAACCTGGTCCTCTGGACATTAAAAAAAAAGCCAGGACTCTGCAGTCTACACTCATCTCCAGGCCAGAGGTCACTCTTTCAGGGATGAAGATGTTCACATCCTGGACAGAGAGGAACGATGGTTTGAGAGAGGAGTAAAGGAGGCCATCTTTGTGAAAAGAAATCGTCCATCATTAAACAGGGGTGGAGCCTCCGGGTTCAACTGTCCATCATTAAACAGGGGCGGAGCCTCCGGGTTCAACTGTCCATCATTAAACAGGGGCGGAGCCTCTGGGTTCAACTGTCCATCATTAAACAGGGGTGGAGCCTCCGGGTTCAACTGTCCATCATTAAACAGGGGCGGAGCCTCCGGGTTCAACTGTCCATCATTAAACAGGGGCGGAGCCTCTGGGTTCAACCGTCCATCATTAAACAGGGGTGGAGCCTCCAGGTTCAACTGTCCCCCTCTTACAATGCTGTGATTGTTAGTATCACTCAGCCCTCTGTGAACAGTAAACAGCCATCAGGTGCTAATGATCCATTGTTAGGCTGATGGTCCTTCTTGAGCATGTGATCAGCTGGTTCTGGTTGTCAGCAGCAAACTGGTTGATCCACTCTGAGAAGGTGCAATTTAAGAGACTGAGCTGAATACAGCACCTCAGACTGAAGAAGTCCTCAGGATGAGAGACGAAACGTTTCTACATTTTTTTGTTGATTTGCTTTGTTTTGTTTTTTTAATGTCCAGAGGACCAGATTGAACTTTTTTAGATCACAGCAAGATGGTTACCTGCTCCTCCTCCTCCTTCATGTTCACAGTGTTTTAGTTTCATCGATGAGTGTGCTCATTCATCCTGAATTCCTCGTTTTCATTTTAAAAATCAGCATAAATTATTTTATTAATTTTTGTTTTCTAAGTGTTTTATAGTGTTTTATATTCAAAAGGACCTTCTCCTACTCCGCTCCTGTTTCCTGGAATATCTTACAAAAAGACCTGAAGCTCTCGACCTTTGACCTCTCTAAGTGTCTTTAAGAATCTGTTGGACTCCTGGCAGGGACCGATGCAGACATGTTCCTGTTTTTAGTTTCTACATTTACCTTAGAGTCTAGCTGGGGCTTCTTTTTGTTACCTTTTCCTTTTAGCCATCCTATTTGTTAAAAAAAAACCCTGCAGTATGACTTTTTATAACTGTTTATTGTTGTTGTTGTCCATTGTTGTCATCTTTCTTTGTTAAATCAGGTCTCTCTTGTAAATGAGTCCTCGAGGCTCAATGGGATTTACCTGTAGAAATAAAGGTTGAATGAATATAACACTCCTGAATTAAAATGTTGCTGATCAATTAGAATTTATTATTAATTATTGATTATATTTAATGTTATTTTTCAGTATCAAATGGTCAAAAATGTTTACAGTTTAAAAAAGTATTTTTTTTCAGACAAATTGATGCACTTTAAGTTGTTTCTGTTACAAACTGAAAAAACGTTAATAAAGTTATTCTTCCTTGTAAGTTGATCTATATTCTTTTTTACTTTAATGTTAATAAGGACACAACGTTACGCAGAGGTGTACTTATAACAGTTTTATAGACACTATTTACAGTCGCAGCGGAGAGTTGGGGGGGGACAAAATGTTTACCTTATCCTGGGGGGGCGTAACAGAAAATAATTGAGAAGCACTGAGTTAAAGAGGTGTTACGATTAAAAAGAACAGCCTGAGCTCTAGTTGCTTTTCTCTTTTCATAGACATGTTCTGGTCTAGAACTCAAACATTTATAATGCAGGGCAGCTTTGAGGCTATGGATCCTGAAAGTGAGGCCTGACAAGAATCAGAACCGTTGGGCGCGGAGCGACAGTCTCATTCAGCCGCAGGGAGAAGGTTTGCTACAGCCAACAGGGTGCTGCTGATGAAACCCACATCCTGCTTCATCCTGTCAGAAGAGGAGAGTCCAGAAGTTCATGAGGAACATGGGCCTAATGCACCACAGCCGTGCACAGAAACACACGAACTGGGGGCAGAAAAATCATAGAACAAGACTGATGAGTCCAAATCTAAAACATAAAGTTGTAGCTGCAGCAAGTTTATTCAGCAAAGGACTGGAGCGCTGTGAAGGAAACACCTGGAGCATCCGGGAGGGTTTTACGTTTTTTATTCATTGTTTGGCCGTTTAGGGCTGCGTGTCTTCAAATGGATTTGAGAGTTTGGTCAAATGCTGATGAACACAAGCAGATATTCTTCAGTGAGCCATCTGAGTTGTCCCAAATTTATTGTGGTTCAAGACAGCAACATCAAGAAGAAGAAGTCCTGGAGGTGATGGTGCACTGATCCCTGAGGCAAACCGTGGGGAGTTCTTCAAGAGGTTCTCTTTCAAAGGCTGTGAGCAAGTGCAGCCAGAAGAACTGAACGGTGCTCACCCAAGAGATGGACTGGATTTTCAGTGCAGGTTTGTGCACTTTGAGGGGGAAAAAGACAAAAGTGTAAGAATCCATTTTTATTATACAAACTACTTTCTTCATCTTGTTCTTTATGCTACTGCACTTGTGAGTGACGGTAACTGGAAGTGTACCTTTGAGACGTTTTGATCCAGTTCCCATTTTCCTGGCTTTGCCTCACAGTTGAAATATTTTACCACGTTGGAAGGATAATTAAGCCCCAACACACAAAGCTGTGTGAACGACCTGCAGCTTCATCCCGCCGTCGTCACGGTAACAAACAAGACAGAAGGAAGGCATCAGTGTCAGGGAAGTTTGTCTCCATGGCAACGGTAAACAGGTCTGTCAGTGTGACGCACACACAAGTGAAACATTACCCCGAGAAGAGGACGAGCACACACACACACACACACACACACCTGTGGAGGCATGGCGGGCTCTAAGGAAACATCCAAGCGCACCAACTTTGTGCATCAAGACGAAATCTGGTAAAAATCCAAATAGACACGATTGTTTCTGGTTGTAAATCTTTTATATAAAAATGATTTATATAAACTGAGGGTACTTTATGAATGCAACAAAACTGATGATTTTGTACTACACCCTAAACTTGTGTAAATTGTTCAATGTATCTCTAGTAACTGTGCAGTTTAGATGTGTCAGGTCTTCTGCTCGCTGTCCACTTATTTTGACCTTTTGCTTCAACGCGTTCCTAATCTCAATGAGTTTGTTTTTTAATTATTATTTATAGGCACAGCTTTTTATTGATTAGGTTGATGCAGGTTGTTAAATATTGCTGAACAGGACTGAGACATTGAACAGTGTATATGTTATCTAATTCTTCAATTAATCTAATTTGTAGCTGAACAAAATGAGCTTCAGGCTGCAAACACTGACATCTGGTGTTAAAAGAGAAGAAACCCACTTCTCACTGAAGAGCCTCTAATTAACGAGCACATGCTTAAAAGCTGCTTTTACATTACCACGTGTTGTTATGAAGCAATCACAAAATGTCACGTTCTGTTTTGTAAGACAACTTTAAAACATAAAGTCCAAATAATCAAGTGTTGTCATTTTTCAAAGGTAATCTGTAAATAAGAATATGAAAGCAGAAGATTAGGTAAAAAAAGACATGACTATGGAGTGCTGTTTGTGAAGTTACACAGTCAAAAATTAACAGCAATATCTTTGGCTTATTTAGCCTTTCATAAGAAAAAAATGTTTTTTTCAAAATCAGATTTTCACCATGTTATTCATACATTCATAAATGTCATAGTTACAAACGAAATATTTAATTTACAATTTAAATATTTTATTTACAATCTAAATATTTAGATAACAAACTAAGTGTTTATGTCCAAACTAAATGCTACTTCACAAACTAAATATTTATTTTCTAAGCTAAACATTTAGTTCCTAAACTAAATATTTAATTTGCTAACTAAATATTTAGCTTGGACCTAAATATGTAACTTGCCAGTTAAATAAGTTAAATAAACAAAGTGATAGTTAGTTGGTCTTTAATATGATCAGATATTGAATGTAGGGAGGGTCCTCTGAGCGTGGCCTTCTGGTTTGGGCGGCGGTGACGTGGTCTTACCATTCTTCCCTGCCTGAGATTGAGGAAAGGCTTCACTGCCTCCCCCTGCTGTAGAGGGTGATCAAACACGAGCTTGAATTCTCCTAGAAATCTAGGAAAAGTTAGTGATCAGCAGCAACATGAAACAGATCAGCAGCAACATGATGTGATTTTTCACAGTGATTCTCCTGGTTAGAGATTCATGAGTCTAACAGCCTCAGGGTAGAAGCTGTTCCTCAGTCTAGTGGTTCTACACTTAATGCTCCTCAACCTCCTTCCTGAGGGGAGCGGGGCAAAAAGTGTGTGTGCTGGGTGAGTGTGGTACTTCATGATGCAGGTGGCCCTCTTCCTGCATCTGGAGGTGTAGATGTCTGTGATGGTGGGGAGACTGACTCCAACATCTTCTGTGCAGCCTTCACCACTCTCTGCAAAGCTTTTCTTTCTGCAGCTGTGCAGCCTCCATGCCACACGTTGATGCTGGAGCACAGGATGCTCTCCACTGCACACCTGTAGAAGGAGGTGAGGACTGAGCTTCCCAGACCAGCTCTTCTCAGCCGTCTGAGGAAGTAGAGTCTCTGATGAGCTTTCTTCATCAGGCTGGTGGTGTTGTTGCTCCAGCTGAGGTTGTTGTTCAGGTGCACACCCAAGTACTTGTAGCTGGAGACCACTTCCACCGCAGATCCTCTTATGTTCAGGGGGGTGTAGGTGTTTTTGTTCCTTCTGAAGTCCACAATCATCTCTTTTGTCTTCTTCACATTGATGCGAAGGTTATTCTCTCTGCACCAGCTCTCCAGGTGTTCCACCTCCTGCCTGTAGCTGGACTCATCATTGTTTGTGATGCATCCCACCACCGCTGTATCATCTGCAAACTTTACAATGTGACAGCCTGGATGGGTAGCTGCACAATCATACGTGAGCAGAGTAAACAGGAGGGGGCTCAACACACATCCCTGAGGAGAGCCAGTGCTGAGGGTTATGGTGGAGGAGGAGAGGTTGTGGATCCTCATTGACTGTGATCTGTTAAGAAGTCCAGGACCCAGTTGCAAATGGAGGGGCTTAGTCCTAGTGTGGATAGTTTGTCCATCAGGGTTTGGGGGATCATGGTGTTGAAGGCGGATGTGAAGTCCACAAAGAGCAAATGGACGTAGGAGTCCTTCTCCTCCAGGTGGGTGAGAGCAATGTGGACCACAGAGGAGATGGCATCCTCTGTTGATCGGTTCTCACGGTATGCATACTGATGAGGGTCCTCGTTGATGTTGATGGTTGTTTTGATGTGGGTCATGACCAGTTTGTCGAAGCATTTAGCGACTATCGGGGTGAGGGCCACTGGCCGATAGTCATTCAGACCAGTCACTGTAGAGCTTTTTGGGACTGGGATGATGGTGGCAGTCTTCAGGCAGGTGGGAACTGTCTCCAGGGTAAGTGAGGTGTTAAAGATGTCTGCCAGCACCTCACAGAGCTGATCAGCACATTCCTTCAACACTTTACCGGGGATGTTTTTTGGGCCGGTTGCCTTGTGAAGATTAATCCTCCTGAAAGTACTCCTTACTTCTGCTGAGGTCACGCTGAGATGCTCTTCATCCGGTGGTGAGGTGAGTCTGGTGCTGGGTGGTCTGTTCGGGTCTTCAAAGCGTGCATAGAACTTGTTGAGGGCATCAGGCAGAGATGGGTCTTTGGGGCATTGTTCGCTCCTTCCTTTATAATCTATGCACTTAATGCCCCTCCACATGCTCCGAGGGTCTTGTGAGATGAATTGACCCTTGATCCTCTGTGCATATGTGGCCTTGGTCTTCTTAATACCAGCAACCAGCTCTTTCCTTGTCCTACTCAGCTCCTGTGAGTCTCCAGACCTGAAGGCAGTGTTCCTGGCTTCCAGCAGGGTGTACACCACTGCATTCAGCCAAGGTTTTCTGTTTGGGTAACTTTTAACATGCAGTGTTCCTGGCTTCCAGCAGGGTACGCACCTCTGCATTCAGCCAAGGTTTTCTGTTTGGGTAACTTTTAACATTTCTGATGGTGGAGACTGTGTCAGTACATGTACTAATGTAACCCAGTACTGAGGATGTGTATTGGTCCAGATCAAGCGGTCCTGCTTTTTCAGCAGCTTCTCTGAAAACCTGCCAGTCTGTTCGATCAAAACAATCTCTCAGTATGAGGCCACTATCCTGGATCCAGCATTTAACTTCCTTTTGTACCGGTCTGGAGCGTCTCAGCGGGGGCATGTAAGCAGGAGCCAGGAAGATTGAGATGTGGTCTGACAGTCCTAGGTGGGGGCGGGGTTCGGCTTTGTATGCATCTTTTACGTTCGTGTAAACACGGTCCAGCATGTTGTTTCCACGTGTTGGTATGCCCACATGCTGGTAAAATCTTGGGAGACAGTCCTTTAGATTCACGTGATTACATTAGATTCACTCACGGACTGACACGTAAAAGGAGAAATATGTAGGCAAAAGACCAAGAAGTGATTTAAAGATGAAAATGTACCAGTGGGAGAGTCTGTGTGAAGTTAATGGTGACCAGTTAAGCAGTGAATACTGGGTGCAGTGGTGGGTACGGTAGTTACAGCCAGTTATGAATCTTAGTGCACCATGATAGACAGCATCCAACATCTGCAGCATCCAACATCTGCAGGGTTCTTGTAGGAGCGTTCATGTAAATAATGTCACCGTAATCAATGGAGGGAAGGAAAGTCACAGATACAAGGTGTTTCCTAACATTCAGAGTTAGACAGGATCTGTTTCTGAAAAAACAAACCCAGTTTAACTTTCAGTTTCTTTATCAAGTTTTCGACCTGGAGCTTAAAAGAGCGATGTGAATCGACAACGATACCCAAGTATTTATAAGAATCGACAAACTCAATAGGGACACCATTCAAAGAGTAAATAGAAGGAAGAACTGCTGGAACCGACTTCCTGTTTGAAAACAACCTCCCTTTGGTTTGATCAACGTATTTTACAGTCAAATGAATGGAAATAGAGCTTTTTGAGTCTATGTTCAACACTAATTATAACTTTTCAAAAGGAAGCAACTGGTAACTTTTTAAGAACTTTTTGAAGCCCTCAAATGTCACATTTGATTTAAAACAATCCCCTTTGTTTGTTTGTTTGTTTTGTTTATGTTTAGGAAAGCACACGTAACATTTGAGAAGGATTCAGGCAAAGCCTGGCCCAATAAATGGGGCTTCTTGACGGAGATTTATAAAGAGGTATCCACACACTGTTTTATATTTCACCTTGGTAATAAGAAAAAAAATGAACATGCATTTTTGCAAGTATAAAACATATATAAGTAATAGCAAGTATAAATAATAATACATTTATAGTAGCTACCTTCCTTTCTTCCTTAGATAGAGAACATTTGCTAATTGGCGTTTATAATGTACGTGAATGTTTCTGTTCAGTGCCCTGAAATAACTTCCGTTGTGACTTGGGTCTATAGAAATAAAGTGAATTGAATTGAATTAATATAAATAATCTGTATGGTTATAAATCTGCCAGAAGCGGATATATTTTACATACCAGTTTATTCTTGTTTGTTTGCTTTTGTTGGTTTTGACTCAACAACAACAACAAAAAATCCATAAATCTTTTCAGCTCTGTGCATGCATCGTACACACAGACCTTTGCTTTGTGTTTTTCAGTATGACACGAAGAATCAGGAGCTAAAAGAAGGCCTCAAACAGACACTCCCTCCTCAACCGACAGTTCCACCTTTCATTCCTCCACAAAAATACACCGTTGTACGATCCATCCATCCAGCCATGTTTTTTAATTTGTACATTTTTATTGTTGCCTTTATTTTATCAGGTTTTCAGGTCTCTCTTGTAAATGAGCCCCTGAGGCTCAATGGGATTAACCTGTATAAATAAAGGTTGAATGAATGAAAGATGACATGTTTGAGAACCAGTTCTCATTTTCAAACATGACCTGTAATAATATAATTTATCTACCCTAATATAACTAATCAATCATAGTATAATCTATCCAAAGTTGTTTTTCATTCTTCCAGGTGGGCCCCTCTCCTCCTGTTCCTCACACATCTCAGGCTTTCATCGGGTGGCGTTCTGGTCACTCACATCTTCAGCTGGAAAAGTACAGTATAGTGCATCATGGGAGGCGTAGTTTTTTGAAGGAGTTGGGTTGGCCTCTGGATGCTTGCATCTGAGTGGAACTCGTGTCTTTTGGCTCATCTACTGAATTTGTATAAAAGTTGATTAAGATGTGCAAACAAATACTTACTGTATGATAATTAGAGATAGACTACAGCAACATCACATTACAATGAATAAATGTAAAATGAAATATTTTGTGTACAACTTTACTAATGTCTTTTGTTCTTTGTAAATTATATCATTATCATTTAGAGCGCCTCCTCAACTTCAGCATATGAACTGCAATACTAAATATATTCACGTTGTTTTCAGGGTTTCTGTTCACTGCTAGTTTCACTCGTTTGACAAGGAAACTAATTATAAATAAGAATTTTAGGACTGGTTTTTAGGTCATATCTGTTCCTGATGCATGCTCATAACCCAGGCAGATGAATGTAACAAGGTTGAGTCAGGTTTTGTTAGATCATATCTGCTTCTACGTGGAACGTCTCTCATTTAAAAGAAAAAGGTTTGTAAACTCAATCATCCAGGTAGATAAATCACAAAAAGGTTTAAATCATCTGTGGAATCCAAACAAACTAGCTTTACACGTGCAAAAAAGGGGACCATCCGTCTAAAACAATCGTCATGTACAACATTCAAATGATTTTCTTCGGATTCCACAGAGGGCTGGTTTGAAACACATCAAGAGGGTGCTATTTGTGAGACAAACCTGGGTTGGCAGGCCTCAGACTGATGAAGTCTTTCGGATGAAAGACGAAACGTTTGTCCTTGAAAGAAACTGCCCAGATGACAAGATTTAACCAAGAGCCTCAGTTAATCAGCACTCGGGTTGCTAAATAAGAAATCAGCTGTTATGGTTGGTTGGATAAAGTGATGTGTGTTAATCTGAACAAAATTATTTAAACTTAACTGGTCACCATTAACTTCACACAGACTCTCCCACTGGTACATCTCCATCTTTAAATCACTTCCTGGTCTGCTGCCTTCATACATCTCCTCCTACATGTCTCTGTGTGAGTGCAGCTACAGCGTGCGCTCTCAGGACATCATTACCTGCAGTGTTCCCTCAGTGAGGACTGAACTAGACAAAAGGACCTTCTCCTACTCCGCTCCTGTTTCCTGGAATATGTTGTAAAAAGATCTGAAGCTCTCGACCTTTGACCTCTGTAAGTGGCTTCAAACATCTGTTGAGTTCCTGGAAAAAAAACACAGACATGTTCAGTGATTTGTAGACATTCGGGAGTATTTTGACCTGGATTTGAAGGTGAACCGGTTTGTTTGTTGTTGTCGTTGTTATCCACTGTTGTCATCACTTTGTTAAAAAAAATTAATAAATCAGGTCTCTCTTGTAAATGAGTCCCCGAGGCTCAATGGGATTAACCTGTAGAAATAAAGGTTGAATGAAAAAAATAAAAAGCCACACAAAAAAAACAACGATAGTATAAATACGCTAAATATTGTCTATCTGGCAACGCCACGTATGAGTCACGTAAATGCGCTTACGTAATGACATCACGAGGGTTTACGTAATGACATCACGAGGGTTTACGTAATGACATCACGAGGCCCGTGAGGAAGGCGGAAAAAGAGGCAAAAATAGAAGCAGCGGCGGCGGTAGTTACCGAGAAACGACGAGGGTCGTTTAACGCAACACGTTCACCAAGTGCCGCCGGCTCGTGTTCGGTTAGAGGAGCGGTCGCTGCCGGTTACATTTAGTGACACAATGTCGCTAATTGCGAAGCTTTTCGGCAGCAACAAGAGTGGGAAGGCGCCCACAGCCCAGGAGGCTATCCAGAAACTCCGGGAAACGGAGGAGATGCTGGCCAAGAAACAAGACTTCCTGGAGAAGAAGATCGAGCAGGAGCTCGGAACAGCCAAGAAGCACGGCACGAAAAACAAGCGAGGTCAGTTGAAGCGGCCCGGTTCCACGGAGGAGCGTCGGTTTGTGTTAGCCCGAGGCTAACCGCCCCGAGGCTACCGGGAAGTTGCTCCACGGTCACGGGACATGTTGAGATGTGTCCGTGGGACGTTGGTCCACGGTCACGGGACATGTTGAGATGTGTCCGTGGGACGTTGGTCCACGATGACGGGACATGTTGAGATGTGTCCGTGGGACGTTGGTCCACGATCACGGGACATGTTGAGATGTGTCCGTGGGACGTTGGTCCACGATCACGGGACGATGTTGAAATGTCTCCGTGAGACGTTGGTCCACGATCACGGGACATGTTGAGATGTGTCCGTGGGACGTTGGTCCACGATGACGGGACATGCTGAGATGTGTCCGTGGGACGTTGGTCCACGATCACGGGACATGTTTAAATGTCTCTGTGGGACGTTGGTCCACGATGACGGGACATGTTGAGATGTGTCCGTGGGACGTTGGTCTACGATCACGGGACATGTTTAAATATCTCTGTGGGACGTTGGTCCACGATGACGGGACGATGTTGAGATGTCTCCGTGGGACGTTGGTCCATGGTCACGGGACATGTTGAGATGTCTCCTTGGGACGTTGGTCCACGATCACGGGACATGTTTAAATGTCTCTGTGGGACGTTGGTCCACGATGACGGGACATGTTGAGATGTGTCCGTGGGACGTTGGTCCACGATGACGGGACATGTTGAGATGTCTCCGTGGGACGTTGGTCCACGATGACGGGACATGCTGAGATGTGTCTGTGGGACGTTGGTCCACAAT